TACCAGTGGACTAAATGCCAAAGGCACACGAAATGGCATACTTCCCACCAAAGTGGTCCCTATTTTTCTACTTGCATTTTTACATGCTTTCGAATTGCTAAGTTGGCAGAAGCTGGGTCAAGTAACAGGAACTCACTCCGTTACACAGCGCTAAGGATTTGAACTGTCGAACTTTCTAATCGACAAGCTCAGCGTCTTAGCCACTGAGCCAACATGTCCCTTAGGCACCACTTTAGGATATCTCAATTAATTTCATTTGGTCCACTGGTAGCTTCTGTGTGGCTGAAAATAAACCAGCACACTGCATGTTAATAAGAAGTGGGCATCAGGGATGCCTCTAATAATATAGAGGCTGAAGAATCATACAGGAAGAAAAAGCAAGAGAGCCACAGTAATAATCTTAATTAAACTTGAATAAGATGCATTTCCAAGTATTAAACTGCTGTTAATCTAGTCTCTCCAGATGTGATAGACTGCAATCTCCATCAGTCCAGCTAGCATGGCCATAATTTTACATTTAGGAATCCCAGAGTCTGGATATTTTCAGTATCTTGATGCAGTATTGCATTTTTAAGAAACGCAAAAATATTTATAGGAATATCAGTCTTGTGAATTCTCAAAAAACTTTCTGCATACTTCTCTGCAAATTTATAGTGTGGCTGAGTTGCTTGAACTCCTTACCTAACCACAGAGGTCATTCCTTGAACAGGCTGGGAAGATGATGGGAAGAAATCCATTTCCAGTAAACCTTGGAACAGATCAAAGCAGTCATTTCAGATGTCATATTTTAAAATAAAACCATTCAAGCAAACCTATGAGAAAAGTCTATTTCATACACTCTGATGAACAGGAATGATAACATGAATTTTAAAGCACTTTCATTTATCTTTACTTGTATCGTTCAGCTCAAATGTGGAATGTGCACAGTAGCCCCCATACAAGCCACTGTTGTTGTACTGCTACAACAAGGAACTGAGACTAGAAGATCATTTTGTTTTAGCTCTAGTTTCCCACAAATAAATCCCAATATTTTAGACAATCTTCCCTACAATATTAAGATTAAAACCCATTTTATGATCCTAGGTTTGACCCAGTTTCAATGCAATACATGGTGAGGAAAGATAAAAGTGGCTGTAAAATTAAAAACTTTCCCCCGCTTAGGCCTAATCATTATACTATGGGCTGTATTTCAATCTTACCTGAGTTTTGCTGTAATTTGGTAACCCATTCTTTCATGAGTGGTTCAGTTGGAGCTCTGAGAAGATACTTGGAGCCATCATTCAACCTAGATGTGTGTGAGAGAAAAAGTATTATGGAATCAGATTTCAAGGTAGCCCAGATTAAGAATTCATTGTTAAGCAAGTCAGTACTACTTATTGTAAAGCTGTAGTAACAAAATCTTACAATTCTGAACATGATTTCTCCACTGTCACTGCATGAAATCTAGCAAGGGTCTTGTCTGAGATGCTTACTTAGGATACTTTCCTGTCCCAAACTCAATCCTCTTTTATCTGACTGTTGTCTTGGTAGTGGCTCTTCCTCCTGTCTGTCAAGGCCACTCCCATTCCCTCTACATATGGTGGCATAAAGAATACTGTATAATTTTGGAAACCAGTCTAGAAAACTCCATAGAATACTTTCCAAGACTTCCTAATCCTAGGATACCTGTCAATAGAACTATTAGATGATAGCTGGCCACATTCCAGTGTTGTACTTCAGTGGGAATTAAGACATAAGTAACGGGTAGAAATATCTACCTTAAACATTACTACAAGTTAAGAGATGGGAATGACTGAAAGTTGTAAGTGAAGAGGAAACAATTAGTGCTGGAATTCTGAAAAGAAGTTGATTCTGTTCTCTTCAGGAAATTCATTGGCACTATGTGTTGTCCTAGAAATCTGATCGGGAGCAGAGATATGACAAACTGCCTGTGTCCTTCCTCAGCAACTGAATACAGTGAATGTGTTTCACTGTTGGCATATTGGGATATCTACAAAAATTGTATAAAGGACAGCACCTGTTCCAAATGCCCAGTCAGAGAATGACAATTTCCAAATTCTAACAACAACTATACCTTAAAGTGCCAAATGAATCCAGGTACCTCATAAAAAATCAATGCTACTCACTGTAATGTGAAACAATGGCTCTTTTTGGTATATTCTGTTTCCAGGGTGCAAACAGCTCCAGACAGGTTCAACGGTAAGGCCATCACAGAGCTCTGTTATGCAAAGAAGGCAAACATAAAGTCCACACACTTGAAAATATTGCTTCTAACTAAGCCACCATGAAACAGTACTTTTAGGTAAACAAACATTCTTCTTCCTGGAATAGGGTAAGCATTCTGAAGGTTTAGCTATGGCTAACAAACTAGTACATATTTAACCAAGAAAAAGCTTGAGAAAGGGACTATCTTAAATGGCAAACTGAAGAAAGGAATGATCCAGGATTCTGTTTCTGCATTTCTATTGATTTAGGCCAGGGGTCTCCAACCTTTGCAGCTTTAAGACTTGTGGACTTCAACTTCCAGAATTCTTCAGTCAGCCATCCTGGTTGAAGTCCACAAGTCTTAAAGGGGCCTCTGATAGACACAATGTAAAATGCAAGGATCTCTTTGTGATCAGGTTCACTCTTCTTGCTTGATGGATCGATGTCATTATGCTAAGAGAGACTATGCAGATGCTTCTATTCTATGAAAGTTTTGTAAGTTTTAATCAATGCCATTTATAATTACCATTTAAGCTCCGTTTCAATGCACCTACGGGTAATTTATATTCTGTTATGCTTTATGACTCTTCTATCTAGGATACATGACATTTTAAGTTTTATTTTGGAAAAAATGCAGTTTATTTATAAAACTCAGGCAACAAAAATGGTATAAAGTGTTTTCAAGTAAATATACTTAATGGCCTTGTTCATGCAGAAGTCATTGGATTATATAGGATATAGAAATATACGGTGGAGAACAAATTTCTCCATTTCTCATGGAGGAAATATATCAATGTGATTGCTGGGGGTAGAAAAAGATTTGATGGCATATAATCAATCAATCAAGCATTTCATTTTGGTTTTCTCTCTCTCTCTCTCTCTTTCACCGGCCATTACCTTGAGGGTATCTTTCTTGTCCTGGTAAAAACACAAAGTTTGCCTCATCAGAACTGTATGAAATGTGTTCCAGGACCGACTATTTGCCTGAAAGAATAAAAATACAAGGTCAGATCTAAAACCGATAAAGATTCATCTGAACATGAAGCAGCACAAGTAGGAAACTTCTTTTGTCCACACTTGCTTTTAGAATAAAGGTAATCCTTGGCTTACAACCATTCATTTAGTGACCAAAGCTACAAAGCACTGAAAAAAATGAGTTATGACCTGTCCTGGCACTTATAACCTTCACAGCATTCCCACAGTCATGTAACCATAATTTGGGTGCTTAGCTATCATATATTTGTGGTGGTTGCAGCACCCCACGGTAATGAACTAATGCTTTGTGACTTTCCCAGCTGGCCTCCAACATGCAAAGTCAATGGGGGAAGTTGGATTTACTCAATGACCATGTGATTTACTGAACAATTACAATGATTCACTTAACAACCATGGCAAAAAATGTCATAAAATCAGGAGTTTAGCAATGGAAATTGTAGTCGTAACCTATAAACCTTTTCTTAAAACATGGGCCAAGAAAAACAACTAATGTCCAAAAGTTCCTTCAGGGCATGAAAAACCACATAATTGGCACCAAGCAAATATAGTATGAGGGACTCCCTGGTAATAATCCCTCCCTCCCAATGACTGGCTCAAATCAAACTAGTTTTTAACTTTATTTTAGCTGACAAACAGTGGATTGTACTTATCCTGAAAACTCAGGTCATTTATTACTGTAGCTTATATTCGAATCATCTCACTGAAAAAAAAAAATTGGAGCTGCATCAATGTTAGTTACTGACAATCAGGTTGGATTCAGCTGGTTCAGACTGCTTTGGGCAAACCAGATGCTAATTTTACATCTGGTTTGCTGAACCAGTAGTTGCCAGGACTGTCTGGCCCCACCCAGCCCCTCCCAGTAGTCTCCATGCAGCCTGTTTTGGATGCCAGATAAGTGCAGGGCCTGCGCGGAGGCTCTGGGAGGGTGAAAAATGGGCCTCCCAGAAGTTCCAGAAGTCCAGAAACAGGTCCGTTTTGGGCCTCCAGAGGGCTCTGGAGCCCAGTAGAGACTGTTTCCCCCCCATTCGGAGACTTGAGGAAAGCCTCCGGAGCGTGGGGGGGAGGGTGATGGTTTCCCCCCCATGGTGGTGCAGGAGGCTGAGTAGGCCACACCCTCCCATGGCCATGCCCACCCAGCAACCGGGCAGAGAACTGGTTGCTAAAATTTTTGAATCCCACCCCTGCTGACAACATACCACCATAACCCTAGATTAATTTCTTTCAATGTGGCAATTTATGGATAATCAGTAGTTGTTTGGATCTGTAGACAAGTATTGATAGCAATCTACATGAAAAAGTGTAAGTTTTGCATTAGTGGGAAGAGAAATCTTATCAATTCTTTTGGGGGCTGCAAACATTTAAATGGTAGATAAAATGAATTTTTCTAATACAGTTCTTCCTATTCCTCCCCTAGAAAGCCAATCATTTTTAACCCTCTTAAAAAATTTTTTTTTTTTTTTTTTTTTTTTTTTT